CCTAGTCTGTCTTCAACGGGAAGCTCTGCTGAAACATCTCAGAACCTCAGCAGCACCCAAGCCTCCGCTGACAGGTGAACAGTGGCTGGGAATTAACCAGGGTCTTTGGCATCCAAACTCAAAAAGCGCACTGCCACAGAGTCAATTCTGGCTTATAGCAACCCTACAAGACAGGGTAGCACTGCCCCTCTGGGTTTCTGAGAGGGTGACTCTTTATGGGAGTCAAAAGCCTCATCTTTCTTCTGCAGAGCTGCTGGTAGGTTTGAACGGCTGACCTTGCAGTTAGCAGCCCAATGCATAACTCATCAGGTTGGCAGGGCTCCAGCCTGGAAGATGAGAATTCTCCTGCTGCACCACCAACTTTTTTTGGATAAACAGTTCGCTACATCTTCACACGTGTAGAGATTTGTGTCACCCACACCACCACTATCAGACTAAAGAACTGTTCCTTTACCCGCCACCCCCCACCCCCCGCTAGCCCTCCCTCTAACGCCCCACACAACCACTGATCTGTCCCTTCTGTCACTATAGCTTCACCTCTCCCTGATTGACATTAAAAGTGGAATTGGATAGAATGTATTCTTTCAGTACTAACTTCTTTCACTCAGCACCATGCCTTTAAGATCAGCCCACGCTGCCACAGATTGGACGGCACAGCGGTGTTCTATGGTGCAGGTGTGCCACTAAAGGAGCCCTTGCAGCCTAGATGAAGCGTTGGACGGCTGGACTGCTGACCACAAGGTCAGTGGTTTGAACCCAGCAGCTGCTCTGTGGGAGAAAGATGAGGATGTCTGCTCCCATGAAGATGAGCCAGGGGGAGCCGTGCTACTGTCCTCTGGCATCGCCGTGAAATGGACGTGAGCCTGGGGCTGGGGGAGACTCCTGATTTACCCAGTCACCCAGGGAAGGACACAGGGGCTATCCCCAGTCTTCGGTGATTATTCATAGAGCGGCTTAAGTGGTTGTGTACTGAGGAAGGGCTCAGTCATTTGGTAAGGGCGTGTCGAGAGAAACACTAAATTGCTGCCATCGAGCTGGTTGTGACTCCGAGCGACCCTCCATGCAGAGCAGAGCAGAGTAACTGCCCCTTTGGGTGTCCGAGCCGGTACATCTTTCCAGAAGTAGACAGTCTCCTCTTTCTCCCGTGGGGCAGCTGGTGGGTTCCAACCGCTGACCTTGTGGCCAGCAATGAGAAAGCAACCCACAGGACTCCTTGAAGGAGCTACCACATGGCTTTCCTAAGTGGTGCACCCTTTTAAAATGCCGACCGCCACGATGCCTACTCTGGCAGTGCCATTAGGAAAGACACCACCAGAAAGGTCCCCCTGAGCTGGTCGAAGGTCAGCAAACAGGAGAGGAGCCCTTCATTGGATGGGCTCAGATGGTCTCAGCCAGTGAGGGTGGCGCAAGCCTGGGCAGGGTTTGATTTGGCTGTACACAAGGTCGCCGCATGCCGGAGTCAAGGCAAACACAACTCTCAAGATAACAAAGTGTGTGCGTGTGCATATGGGTTCGCACTGTCCCCATCAGTAAATATCAGGTAGACATCTGATAAAAGCCACCCACCTCCTGGGGGCTGGGGGTGAAGCACTAGGCTGGTAACCACAGGCACAGTGGTTTGAGCCCACCAGCCACTCCTTGGAAGAAAGATGAGGCTTTCTGCTCTGGTAAAGATTTCCAGCCTCGGAAACCCTAGGGAGCAGTCCTACTCTGTCCTATAAGCAGAAGTAGGGTGCTTTGTCCTGCCAAGGGCCATGTGGACACTGATAACATCATTCACAGGCCATACTGGTCAAGCAACTAACTCACCCCCATTATGATGGCTGGACCGGCTTCCCTCTGGCTAGGTGTGCGATGCTCGCTGGTTCTGATGATGCTATGGGTCTTCTATGGCTAGATGCTCCCCCACCCTGCCCTCTAGGGTTGCTAGGAGTTGGAATGGACTCTCTAGCAGTGAACAGTAGCAGAGTTGAGATTTGGGGATGTGGGGGGAGCTCCAGGAGTGGAAGCGCTTTGCCACCCACACCCACGGTCTGAGCCCTGGGACAGAGTGGAAGTGCAATTGTCATCTCTCTCCTAGCGCCTGCCTTCCGGAGCTCCCAGATGGCAATGAGTTCACATTGTCCCCTGGTGGCTTGTTTATGCCTTGGGCTGCCAATCACACGGTCAGCAGTTCAAAGCCACCAGCCCCTGCACAGGAGACAAACGAGGCTTTCTACTCCTGGAAAGAGTTGTGGTCTCAGAAACCCACAGGAGCAGTTCTCCCCTGTCCTCGAGGGTCACCCGTGGGTCAGAATGAGCTCGATGGCAGGGAGAGGAAGAGAGGTGGCCATCACCCCCTAACTGTATTACAAACCACAATGAATTACAAGACAGACACCACTCTGACTCGTCTGACAGATGAAGAAATGGAGGCTTGGGAAGGTGTGACCCCACTAGGCCATGACAGCATCGGCTAGGAACCCAGAGCCTGAGTCTTCAAACCCCATCCCGAATTCTTCCCATGGGCTATGATCTGATCTGAGCCAATCCCTCCCTATGACTGGTGCAGACCTAAGCCCCTGCCTGCATGTCAGGCCCCGGCAGTCACCTCGGTCCCGGAGCAGCTGGGCCATCTGGTGCTGGAGAAAGCCACTGAGGCCGTGGTAGCGACAGAGGGAAGCCACGGCACTGGCCACATCCTTGTTTTCTGTGTACAGCGTGCCAAAGCGGAGCCCGGACATCCCGAAGTCCTGCAGGTGGGAATGGTGGGGGGTTCCCTGGAGAGAGGCCAGTCCCCCCCTGGAGGAAGCCGGTCCACTCACCTCTGTTCCCGCCCCACTTCCCCGAAGGCCCATGGCCAGCCAGGAAGCTCACCTTGCTGGTCGCCCACATGACGTGGGTCCTCTGGGGGTCAGGCAGTCTGCAGAGCGCACAGGGAAGGAACAGCGGCAGCCCAGACGTGGGAGGGGAGCAAAGGAAGAGATGACGAATAGACGGGAGTCACCCATCCCGATGGAGCCTTCAGATTTGGGGTCCCAAACTCAAACCCAGAGGTTCCCAAACTGATTTGGTCCTATGCCCCACCCCACTGCCCAAGCCTTTCAGAGAAAAAATGAGTCCACACCCCTCTGGCAAGTAAAGCCTTTTGTACTATAGCCCATCATCCAGGATAAAGTGTAGGTCTGTGCTTTTGCAGGCTCCGCCCCCCCCCCCCGCGCGCCCCATCATTTCAGTATCCTCCAGGGGACAGGATCACCCAATTGGGGAAATAGCCCTCTAGCCTATAGGCCAAACTCTGCCCACTACTTGTTTTTATATATAAAGTTTTATCAGAAACCACCACCATACACTCTCCGTTACATATTACCTCTGGCTCCATTTGTGCTACACTAGCCTGCAAAGCCTCAAATCTTCACCATCTGGCCCTTGACAGAAAAGCTACCCCAGCTCTGATCCAGATCAAGGGTTACCTTCTCCAAGAGACCAACCGTCCCTGACCACCGCCACCACCCCCCACCCCCAGCAGACTAGGTTGACTGGATATCCTAGGCACTCCTCACAGCGCCCCAGACTTCTTTTAATCCTTGGCCATAAACAAACCAAAAAACCTGGGCTTTGCTACTAAAGGTCTAAAGTCAGCTAAAAACAGAAGTTCCACCCACACAGCCTGCTCCTCAGGGATCCTAAGCCACCACCACCCCCCCACCCTAATCCCTTGGAGCTCTCAAATGCCACAGAACAATTTGAGATGGCTATCAGTTTTCAGTGTCAACTTGGCTCCGCTATGGGTCCCCAGTGGTTGGGCCAAACACTAGCCCAGAGCAGATTGCCTTCTGTGCCATAAGAAACGTGATGTGATATGATGCCATCACTTTCCATAAGGCCAGCTAATGTCGTCAGGTCATTGAGGTCAGATCAATGTAGGGTGGGGGCTCTATAAGTACTTCCAAGTTCCAAAAAGACCAGGGGAGACACAGACACACACAGGTGGGGGAAGGCAGACATCACATGGAGATCATCTACAGGCAAAGGAACTATAGGGACCACAGGCAGACACCAGAACGTAAAGGTTCCCGGCCGGAATGGGTAGAGCCAATACCCTAATTCAGACTTCTCCCCTCCAGAGCTGTGAGCCACCCACTCCGCTACTTCTGTGGGACACGTGTAGGGCTGCTAACCACGTGGTCTGTGGTTCAAACTACTAGCCACTCCGTGGGAGGAAGAGGAGGCCATCTGCTCCCATGAAGCTGGACTATCTGGGAAACCCTATGTAGGCTTGCTATGTGTCCAGACTGACGTGATGGCAGAAGCAGGCAACTAAGACACACCTGAAAATCACAGACCTAGTCCAGCCCTTTCATGTTCTCATGGGGCAACTGAGGACCAGTGGGCTCAGATGGGTGGAAGATGGGATGTAGTAGCTCTAGGAAAAGCTGAAACAGCCTTGACAAGCGTGAAACCATTTTGAGCTTACAGAAGCCATCATGAACTATAAATGAACTAGCTATGAACTATAAATGAACTAGCTGATATTAGGGAGGCAGGCTGTGCTGGCAAGAGCAACAGACTGTGTAGAAGGAAATGTATGTTCAAAAGGCTTGGAAGAACAACTAGAGCGATTATTGTTCAATTAACAGTAGTCATTGTTTCACTAAAAATGGCTAACCGCAATCTCCTGCTTCTGTACTCTGCTTGCTTGCATACCTGCACATTGCAAAAGTATAACCCAAAGCCCATGAGTAGGCCACTGGAGATCCCCTTGCAGAGGGGTCTCGGGGAGGAGACGAGCCAGTCAGGGTGCGATGTAGCAACGATGAAAAATACAACTTTCCTCTAGTTCCTAAATGCTTCCCCACACCCCCACCCCACTATCATGATCTGAATTCTACCTCTATACTGGTACAGATAGGAACTGGAAACACAGGGAATCCAGGGCGGATGAGCCCTTCAGGACCAGTGGTGTGAGTGGCTTCTGGGAGGGTAGAGGGAGAATGGGTTGGAAAGAGGGAACCGATTACAAAGATCTGTTTGTGACCTCTTCCCTGGGGGACGGAACAACAGAAAAGTGGGTGAAGGGAGACGTTGGACAGGGAAGGATATGACAAAATAAACAATTTATAAATTATCAAGGGCTCATGAGGGAGGAGGGAGCAGGGAGGGAGGGGGCAAAAATGAGGACCTGATGCCAGGGGCTTAAGTGGAGAGCAAATGTTTTGACAATGATGAGGGCAATGAATGTACAAATGTGGTTTACGCAATTGATGTATATGTGGATTGTGATAAGAGTCATATAAGCCCCTCATAAAACGATTTTTAAAAAAGAAGAAAAAAAAACCTTTGGAAAATTAGACAGGCTCAGTCTCCTCTCAAGAGGGCTGACAGTCCCTGAGCGGGTAATAAAACTTTTTCTTTTGAACTTGTCGCGGTCTGGGTTGTTTTCTTTCTGGGACAGTAGTCTACAACAGGGGGCTCCGAGGGGGGCAGGTCACAGAGGGGTGGGGCACTGGGGGGCAGTGGTGGGGGCTGGTGAAGCAGCCTCACCTGTCCAGACTCAGGACGCTGTGGTAGGTGGTTGACTTGTCAAACACGGACAGCATGTAGATCTCATCCACAATCACGTGCAGTGCATGTCTGCGGGTGAGCACGGCAGGTCAGAGCTCAGTTCACGGAGCGACTGTGTTCCCGGGGGGGGGGGGGGGGTGCTGGCAGGTCAGAAAGCCAGAGGGTTCTAGCCCAGGTGCCCATACTTGTCATCTCCAGGATCACCCATCCTTCATCCCTGCTTCCCCCTCCATCCAAAGCAGATGACAATGGCGCATTTAACGAGCTGGAGCTTTTAAAGGGGCAGAGCGAAGGCTCTGGGGCCCTGCCCGGGTGGTACAAAGCACAGGTGTGGTCACCTGACCACTCCAACCCTTGGTTGTCTCCCCTATAATTTGGGGATAATAAGGCACCTCTACCAGAAGGGTGGTTGCAAGGGTTAAGCGAGCTACAGCACATGAAGTGCCTGCACAGCTTGGTGCGCGGCCCCTGGAGAGCGCGCAGTTGAAGGCAGGCTGTTGTGAGAGAGGAGGTGGGACTTGCTGGCTAGCACTCCGGTGGCTCTGCATCCCCAAAGCCCCACCTCCTCGCCTTACTGGGAGGGACCAGAGCTAGTGGACGTGCACAATGAGGGTAGAGGGGCCCAAGGAACTGCCGCAAAAGTGCACCTTGGAACCCTGATCTGGCCAGACATGTGTGGGGTGCAGTGGGGGGGAGGGGCTCACCTTCTGGCAAATTCCAGGTACTCCTGCAGCTCTACTGGGGAGTAGACGTCCCCCAGAGGGTTCTGCGGGCTGAGCAGGATGAGGCCTTTGACTTTCACACCCTGAAACAAGGCATCAGCAGGACAAGGGACCCTCAGCTTTTTTCCAAAGCCAGGGGCACAGAGCTCTAATGAACGAGACAGACGGCTAGGTGGGCTCCCCGGGAAAGGGCTCCACAGGAGCCAACAAGTGGGACCCAGAATTGGACTTGTGGCCTTGTGCCAAGTCAGAAGACTGAATAAATTTCTGGAAAGTGGATTAGAAAGGAAGCCTGGAAGTACTGGTCTACATTTCCACAGAAGGCTGGAGGGGGGGTGTGGTGAGGAAATTATATATATATATATAATTATATATGTGTATATATATACATATATATATACATATATGTATATAATATACACACCTAGGGCTTGCTGTTGAGTCAACCCCCCACTCCCCGAGTGTCAAGGGTAAGTGTGTCTGCAGGGTTTTCAATGGCTGGTCTTTTAGAGTAGATCACCAGGCTGCTCTGGGTTAACTCTGGGTGGATTCAAGCTGCACATGTTTTGGTCAGCAGCCAAGAGCTTTAACGGTTTGCACTACCCAGGACCCCTTCAGGAAGATGTCACAGTCCTTCAAAGTGACGTGGTGGACAGACCACCTCACCTCACCTGAACTCCTGGGTCAGAATCACCCAGGGGGTGGGTGAGGGGAGGGGCCAAGATGAGAGGGGGGTTGGCTTTTTAATGAAGCCTTCCCAGGTGTTCTCTGTGCACTGCGGTTTGAGAATCCTGCTCTCCTGGAAAACCCTCCACTGGCCCTGGCTGGGTCGGGCCCTACCTGGGTTCCAGAAAATTGCCATGCTGCCACCACACGTCTTGCCCCCACCACAGGCGCTGCCACCCGCTCCCAGGAGGAGGTCTGCCCTCGGAAGAAAGGTCCATGCCCTGCTCAGAGCCACCCACTCCCCAGCCTCGGGCTTGGCTTGACCCGCAACCTGAGAATGAGCTCCTTGCAGGGCTATCTCCAGCTTGTCCACTGTGAGCTGGAAGGGGCGTGTGTCTGTCCCTGTGACCTGGAAAGAGACCCCCAAGTCACCAGCCCAAGGCACCAGCCCACTAACCCTGAATGATTAGCTCTCTCCTCAGACCTGCTGTCCCAGCCTCCAGAACCGCTAAAGTGGGGTCACTCCCCTCCCACTGCCACCCACTCCTACCCTGTCTCACCAGGGACCTTCTGCTTCTGGGCAGAGGACACAGGGGTCCACTGACTAGACTCCAGGAATTCCACCTGAGGTTTGCCCCATCCCTCCCCACTCCCCACTCCTGAGGTTTAGCCTCCTGGTGTCTCTGTGGACCCCAGGCATGTAAAAGCCTGGAGCTTGGAAAGCTTCAGGGAACTGAAGTAGCAGACAACAGATGACTCCTCTCCCCTTTCCCCCTTCACCTGCCACCCCTGAGCCCTCGGCATTGGCCTCTCCCGGGTCCACCCGCAAAGTCCAATGCAATGGACCAGGTCCCACCAGTATCCCTGAGCCTTTACCTCACTGTCCAGATAGACGTAGACCAGGCGGACGTTGCTGTAGAGATAGACATGCTCTGTGATGGATCCATAGCAAGGAGCGGGGATCAGAAAGGCCTCTGGAGGCAAGAGGGGGCCAGGGCTCATCACTCTCTGGCCAGGTCACCCCAAGACCCCCATCTGCCAGCCCTGTGGCTTCTCCTAGCCTTCTACGTTTCTGGAGAAGGTTGTGGGCATTCTCCCTCCCTCCCTCCGTCCCTCAATACCAGCTCCTCCCTCTCCCTCCACCCCAACTCCCAAGACTCTTCCTAAAGCTGGGATCCACTGAGATCAGTCCCCTTTCTAATAAACACAAGTCTCATGGACTTTGGACAAGTTATCAGAAGAGACCAGTCCCTGGAGAAAGGCTTCATGCGTGGTCAGGTGGAGGAGGGTTAGAAGGAAAAGAGGAGGACCCTCGACAAGAGGGGTCCGCACGGTGGCTGTGCAGCAAGGGGCTCAGACGGAAAAATTGTGCGGATGGCGCAGGCAGGGCCTGGCGGTGTCTCCTTCCGTCGCACATAGGGTGGCTGTGAGCCGGAGCCGGCTGGGGGGCCCCTAAGGAGGGCAACAGCATTGACAGAGCATTGACTGTGTGCTGGGACCTGTGCCGAGCATTCGTCCCAGTCCTTGCTATCGCTCTGCCAAGGAGGTACTATTGCCACCTGACTTTACCCTTGAGGAAAGGGGGGCTTTAACCTTGAGGAAAGCTCTCAACATGCCAACATGCTAGGTGGCTGCAAGGACAGATTGGGGACCAGAAGGAAGAGTTGCCAAGTGCCGATTGGGGCTCAACAAATGGGAAGCCTCAAACTCACTGCCATTGGGTTGATGTTGGCTCCTAGTGACCCCAACAGGACAGGGGGGAGTGGCCCCTGTGGGTTTCTGAGACTATAACCCTTTACAGGAGTAGAAAGCCCTTCTTTCTCCTGCAGAGCGGCTGGTGGTTTTGAACTGCTGGTCTTGCAGATCACAGCCCAATGAGTAACCATGACATCACCAGTGGTCCTCAACAAATGGGAGGACATATAAAATTGCCTCTGGAGAGAATGCGCTGCTTCTGGAGAGGTGAATTCCCCCCGGTGGACAGAGTGGGGCAGGTATTCAAATGAAAGCCTGGGACTATTGGGGACCAGTCACACAGGGATGACTAGCTCTGGACAGGCAGATTAGAGGAGGTGACATGGAGACAGGAAACCCCTCAGGCTCTGAAGAGGATCCACAGGCTCAGCTACCCTCCTTCCTCAATCTCCCCTGTAGCACAACCCAGAGCTGTAGGAGGGGAGGCCTTGTTCTCCATGTTCCTTCCTCCTCTTCCTCTGGCTTCAAAGTTGGACCCAAAGTGGACGTGTGACCCACAAGGAGCCGTCCCCTGGCTGGCCTGAAACCATCCTGTCTCTGTCTTCCTCCCAAGACTGACCTAAGAAGCAGAGAATCTTGTGAGATATCAGTGAGCACTGAGGCCGCGCCTCTGGGCCATGTAAGAACGGAGGAAGGGCTGGCCGAGGCGGAAAAGAGGGAGGGGTGGGGGAAGAGGAGCTGATACCAAGGGCGTAACAGAAAGCCAATGTCTAGAAGAGAATGATGGCAATCTATGTACAAATATGCTTGATACAATTGATATAGGGATTGCTATAAGAGCTGTAAGAGGCCCCAATAAAATGATCTTTTAATTTAAAAAAACAAAAGAGGGAGGGAGGGAAGGAGATTGTCATCTTAACCCTGCTCTTGATCTTGAATGGGTATGAAATGACTGGCAGTGTCCTTACCAGAACCACCCACTGAAGGTTAAGTGCTGCTTGGCGTGACTGTGACGGGTGCTTTCATCTCCTGATCTGGACCGTTGAAGCTACTGTACTGGGGGTATTTGTGGTAGGATTGCTTGGCATTCTCTATGTAAAGCCTTAGACCAGTACCTCCAACGTGGTCTGTGGCCAACCAGTGTGACTAACATGATCCTCATGAGCTCGGCTAGTGTAAGTGAGCCTCGGTTCATGCTATGAAACATCCCTGACCATTATCAGCTCTTGAGACCTACCAGGATCTCAAGATGAGGCAGGCCATGATGGCTTCGTATTCAAGAGTCAATCAGTTAAGGTCATTCTCCATAAGAAAGCCCAATAGTGTTCACCTCCCAGCAGCAATGCACCCACGAGAGAGGGCCTCCTCCCATCCCCAGGGAGGAGCCTAATGTTCGTTAAGCCAATGTTTCCCAAAGTGTGTGATACTGCTCCCTGGGTGTGTTGGAACAATCCAGGGAGCTACAGAAGCAGATACCCACATTTCATCCTGGATTCAGGACCATAGTACAGAAGTTTTGAGTTTCCAGGGGAGGAGGGCACTGAGAACATTTTTTTTTTCCTGAAGAGGAGATAGTAGGCCAAATACATTTTGAAACCTGTGGTTTAAGCCCACCCTGGTTCCTTCTCCTAGTCCCCCCCACCTCCATCTTTTCCAGGGGCTTCCCTGGGGAGGGGCTTCGGTGATAATTCTGACCAGTGTGACGTCAGAGGCATTCTTGGGGACTCTACCCAAATCGTGCTAAAGAGACGGGCTGGGCACAGCTGCAATCCTTTCTTCCTGCTCTGCCAGGTGAGGATACAGCAGCCATGTTGGGACCAGGATGGTGAACCAGAATCATCTCAGGTGGCAGCCCAGCATCCTGACATCATGCTAATCTCTCTGGAACTGCCAAGTCCCACTGTCCTGGTGAGCTGCTTATGTGAGCCCCCAAATGAGTCCATTTTTCTGGTCAGGAAAGCCCTCAAGAGCAGGCAATCAGGCTACTGTGAGCAGAGTGTGGACCCCCACTCCCCCACCCCCTGCCAGTGTACTCACCCCCCACCTCACACAGCACCATGGCCAGGGCAGAGAAGAGGGAGGAACAGCCATTCAGCACCACCACCTGAGGGAGACATCCAGAGGCTGCTGAGCCTGGCCCAGCAGTCAGGTAGTCCCCTCCCTTGGCATCAACCAGGTGCCCAGAGGCCTCTTCCGACTGCCAGCCAGGCTCTGGACGGGAGACCTTGCAGCAGGATCAGCGAGGGAGGGCATGGGGAGCTGGTCACTCTGTGAGTCTTGCCTGGAGCTAGGAGGCAGATAGAGGCTAAGGAACCAAGTGGGGTAGAAATGGACCCACACTCAAACTGCCTGCATTAGGAGGAAGGAAACAAAAAGCTAGTCCCAGGGGGTGGGGGTGGGGGGCAATGAGCTGATACCAAGGGCTCACGTAGAAAGGAAATATTTTGAAAATGATGATGGCAACATATGTATAAATGTGCTGGATACAATGGATGGATACATGGATTGGGATAAGAGCTGTAAGAAACCCCAATAAAATGATTTATTTTTTTTAAAAGCGAGCTATTCCCAATTCTCAATGAAAGGGAGAAATCAACCCCACCTCCCCCCCAAGCCCATCCCCACCAAGCTGGGTGAACAGAGAGGAGCAGAGGAAGGATTCACTCACGTTCTCTGGTTTGAGGGGTGCTGGGCTCTTACAGTAGAAAGTCAGAAACCTGGCCACTTCCTCCCGCAGGCTAGAGACAAGAGACAGACAGACAGTCAGTTGGTCAGAGATTGCCAGGGCCGCCCTCCCACCCCCAATCCTCAGTCCACCCAGGAGTGTAGTCAGTGTCATCTCTACTCCTCAGCACTCCAAGGGAGGAAGAGGAGGTTGCTGCTTCTGTCAAATATAGTCTTTTCCCAAACACAGGGGTCAAAATCCACTTGGTGATGCTGGGAGGCTGTGGGGAATCTTATTACTTGACTCAAAACGTGGGAGAACGAGGAGGCTGTCTGCTTCTGTTGAGATTTACAGCCTCGGAAACCCTGGGGAGCCGTCCTACGGGGTCGCTAGGAGTCAGACTCAGCCCGTCAGCAGTGGGTGACGGTGATCTCATTGGGGAGCAACTAAAAGCCCATTCTGGCTCTCCTGACATTCCTAAAGGCCCTACCCAGGCCTCACATCCTTCAGGGAACCCAAACTCAGCACCCCTAAACTGGTGGGGCTCGAAGCAGGCACCATTTCTCTGCAGATACACCCGAGACCCCTATGGGCTCCCAGGAACAGGCCTGCAGCCCCAGTCAGGCCACCTCCCCTGGGCACTAGGACATCTTGGTCTGGATCCTTCTTTCTGGTGGAGGACTGTGCAGTGCATTGTGGGAGATGTGACTGGATCTCTCGCCTCTACCCCCTAAATGTCAGTAGCACACCCCTGTCCAGGTATGACGACCAGAAATGTCTCTGGGTGTTGCCAAATGTCCCTTCCTGGGACACAAAATCACCCCCATTTGAGAATCACTGGCGTAGATCAACAACTTACAACTGGTGGCCCCTCCAGTCCGGGTACTGCAGCAGAAAGGGCTCCACTCGCAGCATGTCACTCTGCCTCAGCTGGGGACGGAGAGAAAGAGCGTCAGGGCTGGCACTGCCACCTGCATCCACAGGGCACGTTGTAGCATGCTCGTGCCTTCGTCATCCCAAGCCAAGGGCTCGGACGGCCCATCAGAGAAGTCACGAGAGGGGCTGCCCAGGCATGGCATTTTGCAGGTGGGGAAACTGAGGCTCAGAAAAGTGAGGAGAACCCATCAAGGTCGTAGTTAGCAAAGGGCACTCAACTCTCAGTGGCCAATGACCTTTCTTATTGTTGGTCCCCCTACCCTGGGTCTTCCCTTGACTGTGGTGGCCCCGAGCCAGTGGCTGCTCACGGAGGGATTGGTCTAGGAACCAGCTCCTTTTCCCAAGTGTGAGGTTGAGCTAAGCCCGAGGCCGTATGGTTGGGGAATCCAGGGCTTTGGTGATGCCAACCAATTCCAAGACCTCTCACTGCCTCTGCAAACCCGTCCCTAGTGGTATGGTCCCCCTACAGGCTAGTCTGTGGTTTGGCTGAAAAGGGAACCACGGAGTGAGTTCATTTCCAGACCTGAAGGGTGACGAGCTGAGCAGCCAGCCTGATCTTTAGGATGTCAAGTTCTGCTCCACATTCTCCTCCCACTCTACCCAGGACTTTTTCATGGGATCCCTTTGAGAGCAGTTGGTAATGGTGGTGGTAGGGTGGGGACACCAGCCAGTTCTTCTGGTCTCTGGGTGGTGGAGACCGACGTTTGTGTGGTCCCTTCCTTCACGGGACTGCTGCATACCCCTCTGCTTGTCTTCATTCTTCTCTGCTCCAGACGAGGACAGACAGACAGTTGGTACCTTAGATGGCTGCTCTTGAGCATTGAAGACCCCAGCCTTGACTCGCTGAAGCAAGATGTAGAACATTACTTTTGTGGACTCCGTTATGCCAGTTGACCTTGATGTCCCCTGAACCCTGGGTCCTGAGCAGCCCGGGGCTCTGAGCGCCCCAGTCCCTGAGTGTACCCAGGCCCAGTGACTCATTCCCCCAAGGGGTCTGGCTATGTCTGAGAAGGTTTCCTGTGGCCCCCTGTGTGCTCCACCACACACGTGGATGTTTGTAGCACAGGTGAGTACACTTGAAGAAATCAACTCTGACAAGCTCCCATGTAGGGCGGGTTCTCCTCTCCCTGCTTTGCCTGTTCATCCGTGGATCTATCGTGCACCTGCTTGGAGCTTGTGTGGCAGGGTTGTGTATAGAACAGGGTTTATCTCTGTTGGCTTTAACTCTTGCGCATCTCAAAATGTTCTTTTAAGGTGAGCGTGTTGAATAAAGATCATGGATTAGCATTTTAAAACTCAGCCCAGCCTTCCGTCTCTCTTCCTTTGTCTTCAGAGCTGGATGGTCCAGAATGGTAGCTCCTAGCTCACATGTGACTAGTGGCTATGTGAGATGTAGCTAGTCTGAAGGAAGCCGTATGACGTTTGGAATATTTGGTACGGCAGGGACTATCCCTGATCTCATTAACATTTTTGATATCGATTACATGCCTAACTCGCAACAGCTTGGAGATCTCAGGCTTAAATAAAACCTACTATGGAAATTAACCTTCCTGGCGTCTTCTTACTGTAATTGGAAGTTTAGGATCATGTCCCTGGCCCATGGTTTGCTTCTATTGGACGGTAAGCTTTGTGCTGCCTTTGAGGGAGGGCTGACTTTAAGGAGATTCAGCCCCTATAAGCCAGTGGGCAGCAGGACGAGGTGGTTGTGACCCACAGGGTTTCCTCTGGCCGAGGTTGGGAGTAGTTCTCCAGGCTCTTCCTTGCTAGTCTGTCTGAGTCTGGGAGTGCTGATGAAAGCCGTTCCCTGTAGCAGCACACCACAGTGTCCGCCAACACCCAGGCAGTGGCCGTGGAGGGAGCGGGCTGGTCGGGATCAAGGCTAGGTCTCCCACGAAGTCCTCTTTAAAGCGTCACTGTCGATTCCATCCCAATCCGCGGTGACCCCACAGCAGTGGTCTTGGTTTCGGGTTTGGAAAGGACTTGAGGTAAAACAGTCCTCCCCTCCCTGGGGTGCTGGAATTTTCACCTGCGGAAATAGGTTCTTTGGGATTAAGCATCTCTCTCTCTCTCTAAATCTAAATCTAAAGTCTGACAACAAGGCCTCCTAGGCAGGAACAATGGTGACTGGCATTTCCTGTCGTTTGTATGATCTGACTCACACCAGCTTGAGAAAGTCCATCAAGTAATTTTCAGGCCTTCTGAAGGCTGTGCTAAAAACCCCAGCCAGGGGTCTTAAAGGCTTGAAGGTAATCAAGCGGCCATCAAGCTCAGAAGCAACAAAGCCCACATGGAAGAAGCACACCAGCCTATGCAACCACGAGATGTCGAAGGGATCAGGTGTAAGGCATCATCAGAACAAAAAATCTTACCATAGTGAATGATGAGGGGAGTGTGGAGTGGAGATCCAAAGCCCATTAGTAGGCCACTGGAGATCCCCTTGCAGAGGGGTCTCGGGGAGGAGATGAGCCAGTCAGGGTGCGATGCAACAATGATGAGAAATACAACCTTCTTCTAGTTCCTAAATGTTTCCTCCCCGCTCCCACTACCATGACTCGAATTCGATCTTGCAAGTCTGGCTAGACCAGAGGAAGTACACTGGTACAGATAGGAATAGAAATTCCAGGGAATCCAGGACGGATGAGCCCTACAGGACCAGTGGTGTGAGTGGCAAAACAGGGATGGTAAAGGGAGAATGGGTAGGAAAGAGGGAACCGATTACATGGAACTGTGTGTGACCTCCTCCCTGGGGGACAGACAACCGAAAAGTGGATGAAGGGAGAAGTCGGACAGGGCAAGATATGACAAAATACCCATTTATAAACTATCAAGGGCTCATGAGGGAGGGGGGAGCAGGGAGGGAGGGGAAAAATGAAGACCTAATGTTGGGGATTTAAATGGAGAGAAAATGTTTTGAGAAACAATGTACAAATGCGCTTTACACAATTGATGTGTGTATGGACTGGGATAACAGTTGTATGAGCCCCTAATAAAATGTTAAAATTAAAAAAAAAAAATGAAATAAATAAATAAATAAAACCCCCAGCCATTTAAAAAGATGAACCCACCAAAAACGTACAACGTCTGCTTTGATTGTCATTGACTTAAATGCTGATCTTGTTAGGTGCTAATGAATCGGTTGTGACTCATAGTGACCCGAGGTCCAACAGAAGGAAACACCGCCCAGCCCTGTGCCATCTCACGATTGTTCTCACAGTCCAGCCCGTGGCTGCGGCCACGGTGTCCACCCCTCTCGTCAAGAACCGTCCTCTTTGTCCTTCTTCCTCTCCTAAGCATGATGTCCTTTTCTGGGGACTGGTCTCTCCTGACAGCATGCCCAAAGCACGTGAAATGAAGTTGCACCATCCTTGCTTGTATGGAGCATTCTGTACATCTTCCAAGATGATTCGGTTGGTCCTTCGGCGGTCCATGGTACTTTCCATGTTCTTTGCCAGCACTTCGATTCAAATGCATTGATTCTTCTTCGGTCTTCCTTATTCAATGCCCAATTTTCACATGCCTATGAAGCGAGTGAAAATATCATAGCTTGAGTCAGGTGCACCTTAGTCCTCAAAGTGACCTCCTAGCCTTCCAGTATTTTAAAGAGAACCTTTAAACAGCAGACTTACCACTGCAAAGGCATCGTTGGATCTCTCAATGGCTGCATCCATGAGCGTTGATGGCGGATCCAAGCAAGAGGAAATCCTTAACAACGTCAACCGTGTCTCCATGTACCAACCTGTTACCTACTGGTCCACTTGTGAGGATGTTGGTCTTCCTTACACTGAGTCGTCATCCACCCTGAAGTCTGCCCTCCTTGATCTTCACCAGCAAGTGCTTCAAGCCCTCCTCACTTTCACCAAGCGAGCTTGTATCATCTGCACATCACAGGCTGTTCGTAAGCCCGCTTCCAATCCTGATGCCTCATTCTTCTCCATCCTGTCTGGCTTTCCAGAGTATCTGCTCGGCATACACGTGGATTTAGTATGGTGACAGGGTGCAATCGTGATGCACACCTTTCTTGATTTTAAACCATGTGGTATTCTTTTGTTCTGTTCCTACACCTGCCACCACAGTATGACAAACTGACAGGCAAGAGGTGGGGCATGATTGTTCAATTCTCAAAGATCGTCGTTTCCTAATGATGTTACTATATTTTGTCACTGTGTATATCCTTGGGGTGGGGGCATACGTTTTTACATACTTAGGTGGATTGTGGGTCACTCAACCCAACAATGACTACTAACGCCTCTCTTCCGGACTGCATGTGCAGCGGTGTTACATCAGCAGTGTGGACTCAGCCATGGTGAGCGTATGGATTTATTTACAGGAAGGGAATTGGCAAAAATGACAAGCCAAGGCTTCTGCTCCCCATGAAGGACTAGTTGCTATATACTGAGCAGGACACTACTGATTCCTGCCACTCCCCTGCCCCCCCATCTTCAAGCTGGGACCCAGATAGCAAAGGGAAGGAAGAGAAGGAAGGAAAGGCCCAATGGAGGAAGACACAGCAGGGAGTAGGGAAATCACTTGGCCAAGGTCACAGGGAGGATTGCCCAGAGGGAGAGCTGGTAGCTGGGTCTCCCAGACCAGGGCCACAGAGGCCAGGGAGAGGCTTGTGTGGGGAAGCACCGAGGGAAGACAGGACTTACCCGCCTGGACAGCAGGTCAAAGCAGAGTTTGTTCTCACTGGTGCCCAGGTTAATGATGCCCTGGAGACAAGAGGCACAGGGGCAAGGTGAGACGGTAGACTGGTGCAGCTGAAAGGCCCCCAAGCAGGGTAGGGGCTCTCTGCCATCCCACCCTTCCAACCACAATCCCCATCTCTCTCCAGTGGTACCCTCCACTCGGTGCCCCAGCCCTCTTTCCATTCCTAAAACCAAAAATCCACGGCCATCGAGTTCATTCTGACCCACAGTGACCCTAGAGGGCAAGGTAGAACTGCCCCCTTTGAGTTTCTGAGGCTGTTCATCTTTAGAGGAGCGGACTGGCTGGTAGATTCAAACTACTGACCTTGCGGTTAGCAGCTCAATGCGCAGCCCACTATGCCAGCTGGGCTTCCTTCTAATGCTTTTGCTCTAACACCATCTCCGCCAGAAGCCCTTCCCCAAGACCTCCATCCCAAAGAAATCGTTTCTCCTTCAGGACCCTGAAGCAATCTCTCTGTCCCACCACCTTCCTTAGAGCACCGGTCAGTTCCTGCCCCCGGGGTACAGGGACTCATGGACCTGCTCCATCTCTCCTGCCTGATGTAAGCCCCTGAAGGGCGGACGCACACCCAGCACACCAACCAGTGTCTCGCTCCTGTGATGTCGCAGGACTAGTACCTGTCTACCAGGGTGACAGACTGCACTAGGTTACTGTGGCTTTCTGGCAGGAACAGAAGGGCAAACGCAGGTCAAGAGGAGGCAAGCAAGCGCTCCCGCAGGAGCCTCCTGTAGCCCCCCATGAGGCTGCAGTCCCCTGCCCAGAAGGCATTGGTACTGCCCTGGGAGGGCAGAAGCTAAACCTCCTAAGCTGTTCAGATGCAGAGTGCTGGCCCCATGCACAGGCAGCTCCTCACTCTGAATCCTGGGCTCCAGGGGGTGGGGGGGGTGAGGGGTGGGGGCCATGATGGAGAAGCAGGGATGAAAAGCAGTTGATTGAGCTAAGATTATGATCAACACCAGGGAGTGTTCTTTGATGTCCTGGGAGCAGACTGCTGGGCTTCTCCATTCACCAGCTGTTAAACTCGGTCAGCCCGGCCTTCAAATGATATCCAGAATCCAACCACTTCCTCCTGTTCGCCACTACCAAGCCCCGGATCCCTAAAAACCAAACCACCAACCCAGTGCCATCAAGCGGATTCTGACATGCAGGGCCCTAGAGGACCAGCAGAACAGCGCCAAGGGTCCCCAAGGCTGTCCATCTCTAGAGAGAACGACTGCTTTGTGCTCTTCCTCGGAGCAGTCAGTGGGCGCCAACTGCCGACCTCTAAGAACAGGGTACTTAGAGGGCAGAGCCCCCAGCTAGGCTGGCCACACACACTCTCTCCCTCTTGGATTGTTGATCCTGGGGGAATTCAGCTGCTGTTTCATGAGGCAGTCCTGTTGAGAGGTTCGTGCCGCCTGGGACAGACACCAGCCAACGCTTTGTGAATGGGCTTGGAAACAAACCCCAATCCACAACCTCCACCCACAATAAAGTGAAGCCTTCAGATGAGACCTCAGCCTCAGCTTCACTGAAACTTCCTGAAAGATCGTGAAGTCTGAGAGAGGCACCCACCCAGCTCCCTGAACCTAGAAACGCATGCTTATGGTTTTAAGCTGCTGAAATTTGGGGTAATTTGTTACACAGCAATAGCTCAGAGCTCTGCTGACATGTCCTTAGTCAAGTGGACTTTGTGGCTGCCTTATATAGAACAGCACCCCCACAGTCTATCACATCATTGTCTATGTCTTGACCCTGCTTATTTTCCTCTGCGGCTTTTATTGTCTCCAACGTTTTTTTGTCTGCTGGCCTCTCCCATTAGGATATAAACTCCCGGCAGGAGGGCCTTTGTCTTTGTCCAACCCTGCAGTCTTGACAACCCACCACAGTGCCCCGTACCTGCAGCTGCTCCACAAAGATTGTTTACACATTATTTACGAGATCTAAATGATTTCTACGGGTATTATAACTGTTCTTCACTGCCGCGTCTAATAATTGAGACAGACACTAGGAATACTAACCGCAGGCTCCATTTATGGACATCCATCATTATGTGCCAGGAATTGTCCTACTAACCTTACCTATCTGATCTCAGTTCATCTGGACTCGTCCAGGGAGTCTCTGGGTGGCCCCAAAGGGTTAAGAGCTCAGAAACAGACAGAAAGATTGGCTGTTCAGGCCCACCCAGCGGTACCCTGGAGAACTGGGCTGGTGACCTGCTTCCAATAGGTCACAGCCCTAATATTCCCATAGAGGACAATTGTACTCTGAAGCCCAGGGGGTCCCCTCTGTAATTCCTGGCCTGTTTCCTGATGCAACCCATCCAGTGTGTGTGTGTGCCAAGTTTCTTTATCCATTCTTCCTCTGATGGGCATTTAGACTTTTCCCATCTATTTGCTATTGCTTATAGGATGCAACAGACCAGGTGTGCATATAGCTCCTGGGATCAGCAGGCACTGGCTCAAGTACAAAGGACGAGAGGTCCATGAACTATGCAAGCTCTAGACCCAGAAGAAGACAAGCACATTTTCTCCAGTTCCTATGGATATAGGAAGTCGGCCACAGCCCCAAGGAAACCTTTCTGTTACATCAGAGCCAATCCACTCTTAGAGCTCCATCAGAAGTGATGCCAAGCTGACAAGAATAAGCTGGGTGCTGTCCTGTGGGGTGGGGTGGGGTGGGGGTTGAGGTGGTTGGGGGGGAAAGAGGGCTTCACTCACACCGGGGTTCTTGTCCTCGTCGTACTCATCCATGTGGTAGGCTCTGTAGCCCTCCTCTGTGGAGTCCCAGAACCACTTCACGATGCTGCCTCGGGACGACAGGTAGGAGCTCCCAGGTGAGAAGCCAGCAATGGGGTCGCCCACGCTGTAGAGCTTCCGGTCTGCTTTTCCAAAACATTCTCTGCCTGGACCACTGTCACAGCTACTGCCCGGGGCCTGTGCGGAGTCTGGGCCTGGACCGGTGATAGGTGCCTGGGACTCGCCCTGAAGAAGGGTGGACATCTGGGCAAAGACCGAATCCTCAGCCAGGCCTGCTCCCTGCTCCCACGGCACCGAGCAGCGCAGCGCAGGGGAAGCTGCCCTGGACTTATCCTCTCCTGGGCCCCTCACTAAGGAGCCCTGGTGGCACCGTGGGGTGAGTGCCGGGGAACCAAATATACAGACACCACGTCAACAAAGGGAGCCGGCTAAGGATCAGAGGCTACAAGTGCCGCGTTTCTCTGATGCCAGCTTAATGTGCTTCAGCTACTTTCAGGATAGCAGCAGTTTCCCATTCTGCCATCTAAGGGCCACCAGCACCCATTGCCTGTTCTTGCTGCGGCCATTTTAACGGGCCAGGTCACATTTTTCTGAGTTACAGATCTGGGCCTGGGAGTCCGGGGGTGGGGATGGGGCTGGGGTGGGGGGTCTGATGTCCTTGAGAGTAAAAGGCAAGGTGAGTGGCGAGTGGGGTCTTCAAAGGAAGGGCTCTGTCAGAGCCCCAGGGCGCCCATCCCTGTTCTGGGTGGTGGAGTGAGGGAAGGCTGGCTTAAGCAGAGGGAGTCTGCGCCTCCAGGACATGGGAAAGGGGGCGCTAAAAAGCTTTCCCCCACACTAACTGTGAAGAGGCAAATATGTAAAGTGCTAAAGCACTGGTAACAAATCTTAACTCACGCCCAAGTGACATAAAACAGGAACTAGGGTGATGGTTCCTGTCCTGATACACAAGCCCCACCCCCCAAAATACGGGTGACCCACTGGGGCACCGAAACCCAGGGGCTCCCTATAATTAAGTTCTGCTTCAAGAAGTCTTCTGGGGTGGCATCCCCTGGGAAAGGCTTTGCGCTGCTGGGCGGGGGAGGGAGGATGGGTCTGTGGACTCGGTGGCCAGCGGGGCAGGTGAGGCGCCGGGAGGGCAGAAAGAAGTCCACGCACACCCGGCCAGATGCCCCGGGCACCACCACCTTCCAAAGGATAAAACCCAATCGGCCCCTAGGCCAGCGATTCCCGCAGAAAACCATGCAGGCTTCCTGCTCGGCGAGGGCCACACCTACTGGGGCGAGAGTTGAAGGAGCCTCTTCTAGAGCCCGAAGCCGTCTCCTTGCCCGGAAACCCCCCAGTAAAGGCCTGCGGGGCTCGCACGATGCAGCCCGGAGTCCCTGCGATGCAGCCCGGAGTCCCTGCGGTGTCCCGAGTGCCGCGCCTGGTGAAACAGACTGGGCCGCGGCACGGCGGGGGCCAGCCCAGCGCCGCCCCAAGAGGAGGAGCCCGGGAAGGGGCAGGGCAGGGCTGGGGCAGATCACGCTGCCCAGGCTCTAGGCTCCGCCACGCCACCGACCCCTGATGACACAGGACCCCTTCCCGGCCAGGGTGGAGCCCCACCCTGGCTCCCTCTTCTGCTTCCCGGCCTCCGTCTCCCCATTGCCAGTGACGGTTGCAGCCGAGACGGCCTATCTGCAAACGGGACTGAATACGGACCCAGGTTCACACAAGGACGTGCTGGCAAAACACCGTGCCTGTACAAAGGTTTCCATCCAAGTTGGCGATTCTCACCCCCCATCCCCACCTTTTTTTGGTTCGGGATAGTTTGGAATTTCCCACGTATTCTTGGACCCCGCCCCAAAGAAAATAAACCAAGCGAACCCCAGACTCCACTGTCAATCATGTCGATGCAGATTCATAGTGAGCTGATAGCAGAGTAGAATTGCTCTTGTGGGTTTCCGAGGCTGTGGCTCTATGGTTACTGGCCCAAAGGTCTGGGGTTCGAACCCCACCATCGTTCCCTGGGAGAGAAGACTAGGAGGCGTCAGAATTACTGGCACTTAAGAGTCGCAACCTATACCCACGTACCAGTGAGGGGAACTACATGCTCTCGGTGCTCCATCAACCCAGAAACTTGCCTTCCGGTTCTGCGGGGCACACATGGTGCTCTGCACACCCAACTGATGACCCCAGTATTTACAGATGAGAAAGACCCACCTGGCCCGCACACACCAAGAACCAGCCAGAAATAAAACAGACCCGGAAGTTGAGAATATATGAAGTTTATTACATGTTGATAAAAGACCATAAAACCCTTCTACATCAGGACCCAGCATTCCCTTCTAGACCTTCCAACCTCAGCTAAAAAAACACACCCATTCTCCCCCCACCCGCAATCATTAGCAAAGACTTAAAAGAGAGCTTCCAGAAGGAATAGCGGCTTGGCTCGGTTCATCTCAGCATCCGTTCAACCTTTCAGCTCTCTGGACGAGCTGAACTCCCGGCTAGCTGGAGGGGGGGCAGGCACAGCTACTTCCTCCACCACCGCAGCTTTCAATAACGCTACCATCAACCACTCCTTCCTTTCTTTCAGACTTGCCCGGAACCGATGCATGGCTAGAGGGTTCAAATGGGGCCAGAGACAAGTACTTAGTAGGCTGGCAGGGGGATTCCTGAGTGTCTCAGCAATTTTACTTATGTTGGACTTGCTTTGCTCTTCCTTCTTTGGGGAGGATTTTAAACCTGCCTGCGATATTTTCAATGGTTCTTCGTGGCTTTTAAGGTCACTAAAGCCTGCCGGATACCTCGACGTCTCATAGCAGATCTGCACTCTGGCTTAGAGCAGTGTTCCCTCAACCCTCCTAATGCCGCGACCCTTTCACACAGTTTCACATGTGGTGGTGACCCCCCAACCATAAAATTACAGATGATGATGCTACATCATCACTGCCATTTTGCTACTGTTATGAATTGGGCCACCTCTGTGAATGGGTTGTTCGACCCCCAAAGGGGTCGAGACCCACAGGTTGAGAACCACTGGCTTATAGCCTTCACTCAGCAAGCTGTCTGTCTAGTGTCTTTCCAAAAGATATTCTTGTGGTGCAATGGTTCAGAGCTCAGCCGCTAACAGAAAGGCCTCTGTGCACGAGGCATCAGAATCCACTCCATGACCATGGGTCCTTTCAATCTGTTCTCCACACTTGTCAAAAAGATTGCTACAACTTCATCATTGCGTTCACTGCTGAATGCCCAGCAGGTAGAGTAGAGCCTGGCTGGCTGTGAGGCAGCCTCTGTTCGTTAACAGTAAATGTGACCTCCAAAATCATCAGAGGTGACTCTGAACTCTATAGTGTAGGAGATGAACTCCCATCATCAACTCATTCATCTCCCTGACTAACTGCAAGGCCCACAGGGCAGAGTCCCACTTCTCAGTTGCTTGTACAGAGTCTCAATGCTTTGCTCCATATTGGGCACAGAACTGGGCCCGGGAAGTTAATGAATGAGGAGGCATGGATCCCGAGTACCTACCAGTTCCTGCTAAGGAAGGCATTCATTAAAGATGTGCAGATGGAAACGGGCGACATGGCAGAACCAACAATGGTAGCCAAACACAAGGACGATTTGGGCCCAGTTACAAAGGAGCTGGAAGGCCATCTTTGAAGAAGCCAGGATTGGGGAGATCAGAATCCCTTACCGGTTTCCAGTCGAGGGCGCTTATCTGCAAACACAAGCCGGAACCAGCCTGGTTCTTTGCACATGAAGGACTGGCCAGGGGACAGCAATACCTTGTTTCTTACAAAGTGGCGATGGAGAATTTGTTCTTCTTCAAATGTACACGGGTGCAGGTACTAGAGAGGACCGAGGGACAACGCTTAGTCCAGAGGGGCATTTGCCCGCCCTGCCCTAGAATGCCAGGCCACACTCCCACCGGCCTTACCTTTTCCAAGTTGATCCAGACGTAGAGACCAGAGCAACGACTGAGAAAGGGGATGTCCAAGGCCTTCAGCTCATCGGTGACAAACTTGTGAGCGTCCCGGAGCCGCGAGCAATTAGTGGGATGGTACACGTTGTCAATCCACTCTGCAGAGGTGGCAGAAGAGAGTCATCACAGGTGTTGGTATAGACATCTACCCAAAGATTCCTTATCCAACGCTCTGGGCTTCCTACCAGCTCTTTCCCACTTGCTGGGATCCACACCCCACACACGCATTCATGATCTCTGGCTTGGGTAGAGACACTGAGTTTCTCAGTTGTCGGGTGGCATCGAGTCAGTTCCGACTCCTGGTGGCCCTATGTGCCACACAATGTAACACCCCCAGTCCTGTGCCATCCTCCTAAGGATGTTTGAGCCTGTCGTTGCAGCAAGGACCGCCTTCTGCCACTGCCCCTCCACTTTACCAAGTATGATGTCCTTCGCCCAGGTCTGGTCTCTAAAATAATGTGTTCAAAATATGGGACAAAGTCTCGTCATCCTCCCTTCCAAGGAGCATTCTGGCTGTAATTTTTCCGAGACAGGTTTGGTTTATTCTCTTGGCAGCCCATGGTACTTTCAGTATTCTTCACCAGCACCATTGTGGAAATACATCAACTGTTGCCGGGAGGGTGAGGGAAGGAGGGGAAACAGAGGAACTGATAGCAAGGGCTCAAATAGAAAGTAAATGTTTAGAAAATTGTGATGGCAACATATATACAAATATGCTTGGTAGAATTATGTATGGATTGTTATAAGAGCTCTAAGAGCCCCCCAATAAAATGATCTTTTTTAAAAAACAACTGTTCTTCAGTCTTAATTCAATGCCTACCTTTCACAGGCAAATGAAGTCATTAAAAATGCCATGGCTAGAGTCAGGCACACCTGGGTTCTCAAGGAAACAGCCTTGCTTTTCAATACGATAAAGAGGTCTCCTGTAGCAGATTTCCCTGATGCAATGTGTCATTTGATCTCTTGACGGTTGCTTCCATGAGCTTGGATTGTGGACCAAGTGCTTGACAACTTCAGTCTTTTCTCCACTGATCACGATGTTACCGACTGGTCGAGTTGTGAGGCTTCTGGTTCTTGACATTGAGTTATAATCCACACCGAAGGCTTCGCTCCTTGGACGGCATCAGCAAGTGCTTCAAGTCCTCACATCGAGGAAGCAGGGTGGTGTCATCTGCACATCGCAGATGGTTCATAAACCTTCCTCTCATCCTGGAGCCATATCTTCCAGTTCCTCTGATGATGTACTCAGCACATAGGCTGAGTAGGTATGCCAAGAGGATGTAACCGACATATACCATAATTTTAAAACATGCAGTATTCCCTTATGTTCACACAACTGCCCCACAGACAAGATGTTGGTAGAATTTGGTTACTTCACCACTAGCTAGCTTCAGTTTGTATAATAAAACTATTAATTGGATTTCCTGGTCTGTAGATAGACATTGCCCTAACACACACACACACACACACACACACACACACACACAGCATCGTAGTCCTCAATCTTAAAATGTCTTTTCTGGTGAATGCAACACCATCCCTCTTGATTTGTGTCATTCTGGCAGAGTGAGCCACATGATTTGCTGATTCAAAATGGCCAATGCCAGTCCGTTTCAGCTCACTAACGCCTAGAACATCTTTATATGTTCCATTTCTTCCAAGTTTCCCAGATCCATGCTGCGTACATCTCTAGTTCCAATGAATTGATGCTTGCAGCTGACCTCATTTGGGGGGGGGTCTCATTAGCAAATGAAGGTCCCCAAGGCTTCGCTCCCTTCAGGCTTTACTCCAACCAAGTCAACTCTGCTCTGAGGAGACAACTCCTTCCTCGGTCATATTTTGAGTGCCTCCAACTTGAGGGTCCCTGCTCCTGGTGCCATCTGACCATGTGCTGCTCGTCACTGGGTTTTCAGGAACGGACGGGGTTGGATGCGGTTCTGTAGGGTCCCCTGACTTGCCAGCCTACCCCATCTTCTTGTCTCAGGCTGGGAGCTCCGCTGAAACCCCGCTCACTTGGGATGACCCTGCCGGCACTGGACATGCCAGTGACATATTAGCAGCACAGCTCCACACAAGCCACACTGTAGGACTGACGGATAGAAACTTTTGGGAAGGGGGTGGGTCTCAGTAGTTCAGTGGAAGTGTTCTTTATGCGTGTAGAACCTAGAACAGCGGTTCTCAACCAGTGGGTCACTCCCTCTTCAGGGGTCAAATGACCCTTTCACAAGGGTCACCCGACTCATAACAGGAGCAAAACGACTGTGATGAAGTAACAACGAAAGTCATTTTATGGTTGGGGGTCACCACAACATGAGGAACGGTATGAAAGGGTCACAGCATTAGGAAGGTGGAGGATCACGGCCCTAGAAGTAAAGGAGGAAGTGTAAAGGGAGGGAGTGTGGCCTGGAAGAAGCCAAGATAGTTCTGTTTTCAATTCCAAGAACTATCGGGGAGGGGGTGAGGCTGAGACTCGAACTTTACCCCCAAGATTACCAACATCAGAATCTTTGAGAAGAGTCCCACACATCAGTATTTAAGCTCCCCTGGTAATTTCCACAGCCAAGATCGAGAATCAACAATCTAGGCTCTGGGAAACATGTTTCTGCAAAATGCAAAAGGGCCTGCCGATGTCCTGTAGGAAAGCATCCAGTTAGAGTTCTCCTCCCTTCTTCCCCACTCCAAGCGGAAAGTCAGCTTTTTATAAAGCACCCTAAAATATTGGTTTCATTATGTACCTGCTTTGATGTAGACCCTCTAGCCTGGGATCTGTTCTTTAAAAGACTGAAAGAGGTCTTCCCTACATGTGGACCACAGAAGTTCCCTCTGAGGCCACCATTCGCTTGAGATCCAAGGGTTCAGTTGGATCTACATGCCCTAAAGCTAGTCACAGCGACCTGACCTTCCGGATGGAAGCACTCTACTTAGGAAGGTGAGGCTAGCTGTAGGAGGGAGCTTGAAAAAGCTCCTGGCACAACGGACTCTCCCTGGATCCATGGTCAGGGGATGGGAGGGAAGTGGCTGCTTAAACACAGCGCATTGGAGAGATGAGTCCAGAGAATCGGAAGGATAAACCGGACTCGGACAGGTAAAGCTGTATCAGTTGATCCCTCTCTGAGGCACGCTGGCCCTGAGCTGGTTTTTGATATCGTCTGTATTTTTGTTTGGCTTTTGTTTGCTCATATTGGGGTTTATCTCTTGAAGTTGTGTTACATGTTTTTCTGCTTTGCAGTGGATTGATGGATTGATGAAACCTATAGGGGCAGCAAGTAAAATAAGGGTTTGGACGGTGGTGGGGTGGAGGGTGACGTACAGTGATGGTGAGGGGTGAGGGGTGGGGGGAAAGTCAAAGGGAGATGATGTCAAGGAGTCCAGGAAGAAAAAGAATGGCTGGAAATGGATTGTGATAGCCACTGTACAATTCTGCTTGATGTGACTGAAGTATGGATGATATATCTATTAACTCCCAATTAATAAAATGTCTTAAAAGAAAGTACAATTCTTCATACATTTTTTTAAAACCTGACATATTAGAGAGTGTGTTTTTTTATTGTTTTGTTTGTTTTTTGTATCTGTATCTTGGAAGTACTTGTGTCTGTCTTGAAGTAATCAGAGGATTAGGGAGAAAAGACCAATTTCCCAATTTCTCATTTTCAGGTCTTAGAACGCAGTTAACCATATTCCCTTTCTAGGATGGGAGCATGAGCGATGAGGCAGGCAGAAGGTTCAAGCCTAGGCTGTGTTTCAACCACCTACATCTTTCTCAATGCGCTGTGCTGTTGCTACCTACCTCTGCGTGCCTCCCTCCTCCTTTAAGCTTCATGTCCTCCCAGGGCTAAGCCTGAGACCATGAAGAGGGTTCGCAATGTTTTGAGAGTATTCACAGAGGTCTGAAGAGAACCTGAAGTTCTCCGTGGCCATGAGATCCAGGCAAGGGGTGAGCCATGCACAGAGCACCGTACCTCTGTTATGGAGTAGCCTGTACAGTTTGTACTGGGTGAGGCCCGACAGGCTGTGGAGGTAGCCCAAGGATCCCACGGCAGCGACCACTTCCTTGTTGTGGGAGTAGAGCGAGCCAAAGCGGAAGCCACAGATGCCAAAATCCTGGAAGAGCAGAGTGGGGGGGGTGGGGGCGGGGAGAGGTCAGGGGCATGAGAACATCTGATTTGTCTTCGGTTCTTGGCTCTCCTTCCTTCCCCACCCAAGGACCCACAAGCTAGGGCTCACCTTACTGGTACCCCAGATCACATGAGTCCTGCTGGGATCAGGCAAACTGGGGACGAAGAGGACAATCAGGGTTATAGTGTGTGGTTCAAAGAAAAACACGAGGTAGATAAAGGGAAAGAGGGTTGACGTCTCTCCCAGACAGCTGAAGCCAACAGGCCTCCACTGCACCCTAATCAACCAGAAAGTCAACAGAATGAGATCTAAGACCCTCAGCCTGGCTTGTGGCCTTTTTCCACTTGGGTCTCCACCTCACCTTGCTGGCATTGGGCTAGTCAGGTATAGGCCATCTACCTACCGTTCCTAGAGTTTGCTCACCTAGCTCTTACGGTCCCAGCTTCCACGTAGCTGGTCCTTGGGTCAGATATGCACTTCTTGATTTTCCTGCTGCAATCTTCCCTAAGAGCCGGACTTGGCAAGAACTTCCAACCCTGGCCACCTTCCCTAGGGCTTTGCCTTGCTCGACAGTGTGCCCTCTCCCTTACCTTCACGTCATTGGCTTTGCGACATACCTTTTTGATCAGGCGGCATGTGCAAGGAAACGGGCTTGGCTCCTTTTCGATACCTCCCTTGCTACTGAGCTCATTAAGTGTGGGACACAGAAGCAGTGGGGACATGACATTGTGGCGGTGGCCATTCCCAACTCCAGCTGACGCCAACTCACCTGCTCAAGCTCAGGACACTGTGGAATGTGGTGGCATCATCGAACACAGAGAGCATGTATATCTCATCTACAATCACATGTAGGTTGTGCCTTCAGGGTGGACAAAAGAAGAATACCTAGGTTCACGTCAATCATGACTCCATTGTTTGGTCTTTTCTATATACAGATCAGTTGTTCCCACTGCCCCCAGAAGACCATCCGAGCCCCCTAGGAGGCATGGGAACGTGGAGGAGGGCAATACACTAGACGGGACCCTTAGGCCTGGAGAGGAAGAATAGGATACATCTTTAATCCTTCTGCCATAGGAGATCAACAGGAAGAGGTCAGGTGTCCTAAGAAGTTGGGGTCCCCTTTAGAATCCCGTGGGGGTGCTGGAATGTTTAAGGAGGGCTGCAGAAGCATACACCTACGCTTTGGGATGCTAACTGTCAAGTCATCGGTTTGCAACCACCAGCTGCTCCACAGGAGAAAGGTGAAGGCGGTCTACTCCTGTAAAGACTTACAGCCTTCGAAACCCATGGGGGCAGGATGGGGGTGGGTGGGTGAGTGGGAAAGACTACTTTGTCCTATATAGCAGCGTTTCTCAACCTGTGGGTCCGAGACCCCTTTGGGGTTCAAGCAACCCTTTCACAGGGGACACTGGATTCATAACAGTATCAAAATTACAGTTATGAAGTAGCAACAAAAATAATTTTATGGTTGGAGGGTTGCCACAACATGAGGAACTGTATTGAAGGGTTGCGACATGAGGAAGGTTGAGAACCACTGTCCTATAGGGTCACTGTGAGGCACAATCAACCCAATGACAGTGAGACCTGCACTTGATCCTGGATGATGGGCTATGGTACTAATGTTTGTCATTGTTTTTTCCTAAAAAGGGGGCAATAGACCAAATAAGGTTTAGAACCTGTGCTCTAGTCACAAGGGGTGATAGCCAGGGTCTCTCTCCTATGTACCTCTTGGCAAATTCCAGGTATGTCTTCAGTGAGTCTTGGGAGTAGATGTCACCCAGAGGATTCTGGGGATTGGTTAGCACAAGACCTCTGACCTTTTTCCCCTAAAAAGAACCCAAACATAGCCCTAAGTGAACACAAAAATCTTGTACATCTTTCCCAAATTCATCCACAGGTCTTTTACAGGTCAGGGCACCCAATAGAGGACATCTAAGTCGGGCCTGGGAAGGATCTTGAAGTGGCAGCTACCACCCAGCAGGCAGAGGGGAAGTAGAACACCTCTGGGGCCTGGTCCAGATTGGAGCCCTGGGAAAACTCACCTGGTCTCATTCCCCGTCTCTAAAGAAAGGGCGCTCTCACCTGGTCTCATTCCCCGTCTCTAAACAAAGGGCAAGTGAATTGTACGAGAATCGCTTTCAGAGCCTGCAGCGGCCATCTCGAAACCATGGCGTCTTCTTACCTTCAACCTGGCGTCCTGCAGGGCCTGCTCCAACTTGGCCACGGTCAGCTGGAAGGGTTCCGTGTTCTCACGAGTGATCTGGAGAACAGTGGCTGACATTTGTCTACTGAAAAAGCTCTTGAGCCTTGATTCCGCATTCCCTTAAACTAAGAACAATCCTTGTTTATGGAGACCCATGACACTAGTCCAAAGTGCCGTCTGCATCCCCAAGTTCTCCAACCCCTCCCCCACTCACACGGTAAGATTGTAAGACCTACTCCGTAGTCCCATGGTCCCCTAGCAAAGTCCCTTGCCCTGGGTGGGTGGGGAAGGGATCCCATTCTGACCTGACTGTCCAGGGGGACGGCTACCAGTTCAATCTGTGAGTACACATGGGAGCTGAAGGCGAAGCCACTGTAGGAGGGCGTAGGGATCAGAAAGGCCTCTAGAAGCACAAGACAAGGAGCCCGTCAGTCCACAGTCTCTCCATCACCAGCTGCCTGGGAAGCTGCCTCACAGAAAAGGCCAGTTTGGCAATTCCATCCCAACCTGGAAAATGTCTCCGTTCCTACCAACAATACACTGCACCTTAGTTGAAAGGCCAAGAAGTAATATTCTTATGGACAAAACAAAGAGGCTTCCAAAAACTGGGGGAAAGTTCCATTGTGTCTTCATTCATTTGAAGCCCCTGCTACTCAGGAAGGGCAACTCAGATTCGTTCTTTGGGGGGATACTAGAGAAGATTAGTAGGCAAGAATATCATGGAATCACCCAGAATCCAGGACGTGTGTCAAGCCAGGATTGCTAACAAGTGGAGTTTTGATCATTTGGAGAGTCTAGTTGGTTTTGGCCAAACACAAGAAGCCAAGGTCATTTGGCACAAGGAGAACTCTCTTTGCCATGCAGTGCTGTGGTGACCTCATACGGTCTTTTCTTCCAACCCATTTGGTACATTGATGAGCTAGCCAGTGGCCTTTGACTGAAACAAGCTATCTTGGTCACTTTCTCCTATGCAGCCACAGCTCATAGCTGACTCTTAGTTGATCATTGATTAGAGCCAGCTTCAAAGCTTTATATAGTCCAGGAAAATATTTTCATAAGAAGTAGGAAATGTATATAACCTAAGACAATGAAGCAGGGCTCTCAGATTGGAGTTGACACCAAAGGTAAAGCTTAGCATAATGGGTTGGTTTCTATCATCATTCATGGGACATATCACCTGGAGGATGATTGTAAGTCCCTCTCTCTATTAAATCAAGATCCCTATCTCTTAGTCCTAACACAATACAAAGATAGACTGGTTAGTATAGGCGAAACCCCTTTCCCAGCCTTTTAGGGAAAGGTTCTGATCAAGTTGGATTTCCCCCCTCCAAACCTAGGGCTCACATGTTCCTTCCCATGGCCTAGAGCTTCACTAAGAGTAAAAGCAGAGCCCACTTACTTACCCCCAACGTCACACAGAACCATAGCCAGTGCAGAGAAGATAGGGGAGCAGCCGTTTAGAACCACCACCTGAAAGAGATGCTTAAGTCAAAACGCGAGACCCATGGGAGGGCAGGGTGGGAAGGACAGCCACCCTGTCTCCTTCAGGAGGAGACAAACCAGAAAAGTTTCCAGATCCACTACCCATCACTCTGCCCAAGTCTTGAGACTCCCCACTAGTTCTCCTTACCTTCTTGGAAAACTCAGGCAGCCCCTTCCAAATATAACCCCTGCACCAGAGTAGCAGCAAGGCCGAAAAATTGACTCACATTTTCTGGATCGAGGGGAGTAGGTGCCTTGCAGTAGTGTGTCAGAAACTGGGCCACCACCTTCCTTAGGCTGTAGATAGACCAAGAAAGATCCTGTGGTTTGTAGGCTTAAGGGTCCTTCCTCAGTCATCATTAGACTTCAGTCTTTCTCAAAGGGAAGGCCACAGAGGACCCTTCTGATGAACTTGCAAGGTTAAGGTGCTCCGCTTCCCAGGTCCCCCAGTCAGTGTGACACAGTAAGCTGGCACAAGAGCTTGGGCCATTTGAACTGTAGCACCGTGCTATGTCTCCTATGCCAGGCTTCTCCTCAGATCTTTTGCTCTAGGGACTGCCCAGAGTTTACTATTCAACTAGGGAGGCAAACAACCAAGGCTCTGGTCCCTTGATCCCCCCTGAGCCCGCTGCTTGAGGAGAGAGGGGCCTGTGGAGCAGATACCTGCATCTGGGGGTGACTTACAATGGCTGTCCTTTCCAGTCAGCGTATTCCAGTAAGCCTTCATCAAGGTAGTTCATATCATCATCACTCAACTGTTGGCAAAGAGGAATTGAAGGACAACACAACTGGGGAGACCCAGGAGGGCTCACCCCACCCACAGTACGTTCACGGGTATGTGGGCCATGCACTGCTTAAAGGCTGGAGGCTTTCCTCTTGTGGATTATAGATAATTCACCAAGGAATGAGTAACTATTCAACCTTCCTCATCTTACTCTTGGATCAGAGTTTCCCTTGGCCTCCTACACTTCTCCGGAGGAAACATCCTGGGCTTGCTGACTGTGTCCGGGGCTTAGATGCACTGCCCTGGGGAGTTATTTATCCATACTCCCAAGCCTCACACTGACACGAGGTGCCTTGAAAAAGTTGGAGGGAAATGGAATGAAAAAGAATGGACTGTTGGAAGACCCATACTATCTACCACAGGCGTGGGAACAGGCTAGAGGGCGTGGGCCGGGAGGGGCGGGGACTCCCACGCAGCCCAGAACATGGCTCACCCTCTGAGACATCAGGTCAAAGCAGAGCTTGTTCTCACTGGTCATGAGGTTAATGAAGCCCTGAAGATGAGAGAAATGCGAGGTCAGTTCTCTTGTTGGACCCCCCATGCACACCGTGAAAGCTGCCCGTAAGCCAATAGCTATAGCTCGGATTAGTCTAGCTGACCCCTTGCTGCCCCACGAAGCAGTTCAAGCTACACTCGACAGCCCTAGGTGTCCGCCAGTGCTCCACAAACCCAACAAAACCGACAGCTTCCACACGTCGTCGCCCTTTCGCCCCACATCCTTACTGCCACGGAGTCAGTGCCGACTGCCGCAGCTCTGTTACGTACCAGATGAGCCAGGACCAAGTTCTCTATGTGAGAGATACAGAGCAGTGGTTTCAACTGGATTACTTTCATCCTCGTGACTGAGGGTGCCACTATGGTTCTTGATTTAAATAGGATAAAACTCAGAAGAAAGAATGGGTCACCTAGTAGCCGTGGGACCTCAGGGGACCGACAGGACGCCACCTGCGTAAACCCAGAGCCTGCACCCTTGGCGAGCACAGCCCTCATCTGATAGTTCTCGCTGCCTTTCTTCCTTCCAGGGACCCGAACCAAACTCACTGCCATCGAGCCAATTCTGACTCATAGGGACACGATAGGATGGGGTAGAGCAGCTCCCCTGGATGTCTGAGACTGTACTTTTCTATGGGAGTAGGAAGGCCCATCTTTCTCCCCTCCTTCCAAGGAAGGATCCCCTCAAAGGACTGGAGATCTAGTTCTCCAGAGCTCAGTAGAGAGCTGCCAATACCCAGAAAATCAGATGACCGTCGTCAACCACACGCCACCCAGCAACATTAGGAGGAGGCGTGGCCAGTGCTAGCCACCCACAGTCCTCCAGCAGATGCTGTGAATCCCCTTTGTCGATGGTCTTTCATTAACTTTCTATTAACCCTTAAGATGATGTCCTAACACCACACCATGGCCTGTCCCTACCCCTGCCCACCTCTTGCCACTAGGCTCCTTGTACCTATGCTGACCACAGGTGATGGGCCTCTTCTCTCAATCAATCCCAGCCCTTCCATCTTCAGAGCTTTCAAGCATGGTAATCCTCACCTCCTGAATGACCCGCCCCCAAGAACAGCGGCCCAATTTAGCCTTACAAACAGGTCTTTCTGGACCACTCGAAGTGGGTACACCTCAGCGTTTATGGAGACTTGGGCATTGACACTTGCTTCTCCAAGTGTCTTCTGTTGAAGACATCCACTCCTCGTGGATGTTGCTAGAGGGCAGGTTCACTCACCACGGTGAGCCTACCTTCTGCTGTTAGAGAAGGTACCTGACCGTCGGCTAGTTAGAGCCACCGGGATTCAGGGGAACACTCTCTGGAGGATGCAGACTTCAGATCTACAATGTTCCTGGGTGCGTCCCCTGGTTTCTATCTCCAAGAAGGCGCCATTACCTCCCCTCCTAGGCTTTGAGGATTAAATGAAAGCCCACCGGATTCCACACAGAGGTGCTCGGTAAACCCATGTGAATTAGCCCCCTTGGTTCTAGGTCCCCCTCATCTCACCAAGTGGTTCTCTTTTTCGTGGTATTTATCTGCGTGGTAGGCATTATAGTCTATGAAGCGGGAGTGGTATAAGTTGGAGATCTCTTTCCCACGCTGGGAGAGGAAATGGGTGATACCTGCCGCTGGGGCCGCACCCACTGGGGAAAGTAACTGGTCAGGCTGCCTGGAGGATCGGGCGCCCTGCCCAGGAGCGCCAGCACCCCGAGTTTTCACAAAGGGCGGAAGCAACTGGGACTCCAGGTCCCTCCAGGACCCAGACTGCAGGATCTCGAGCAGCTGGTTGAGCAAGTAGATCACAATGCCCTTCTGCTCCGTGATGGTGCATGCGCACGTCTCCAGCTTTGAGCCCGCAACCTCCACGCCCGTGTCCCTGTGTCTGATCAACTGCAGGGTGCTGTCCTCGACGGTGCTCTGCCACTTGCGCAGCTCCTCCAGGATCTTCAACATCTCTAGCAGCTGGTGGATGCCGACCTGGACGCTGAAGTCTTGACCCCTCTCTCGAATGAGCCTGGGGAGGAGGTTGGTCCAGCTACTTAAACTCAGGATCTCTGTATCGTGGCCTTTGGCAGGCTGACTGTCCCCTGCAGAGAAGGAACAAAACCACGTGCTGGGGCAAAGGACATACCCGATGACCCTCAGGCTGCCAGGGTGGCTGCACAACTTCAGGCTGGTCACAGAGCCCTCGGTTTTCTATGCCTTGTTGAGGTGCCTCCACATGGTTTGGGAAGAGATGTGTTACCTACTTGTTCAAGGACTACGCTTCAGGGGTCCCAAGCCCAGGCACTGGGATGCTGGATTTAGATGGCATTACCATGTGCACTGAGGACAAGCCTTGGCAAATTCTCGAAAGAGAAAAGATGGAGGAAGCCAAACATGTTGGCTCTGGGGTCGATATCACCCACCCTCTGCCATCAAGTTGATCCAACGAGTAGCTGCCTTATAAGAGAGGAGAACTGCTCCCTGGGTGTTCCGAGGAAGTAAATCATTAGGGGAATAGACAAGCTCGTCTCTCTCCCGCAACAGAGCAGTTTCTGCTATCAAGGGCAAAAAGAAGTTGGGGGTAGGGGGTCAGTTGCAATAAAAACCAGTCTGGAGTTGCTTGTTGTCACTAAGACGGGGGTCAGCAAACTAGTGCCCAAAGACCACAACCAGCATTTCAGGACCCCCTTGGTGCTGCAGTGGGTTAAGCAACAGGCTGACCACCACAAGGTCAGTGGTTCAAAGCCACCCAGCCTACTCTGCTGGAGAAAGATAAGGCTGTCGACTCCCATAAAGATTCACAGTCTCAGAAACCCCACAGAGCCCTTCTGCTCTGTCCTCCAGGGCGTGCATCAGAAGAAACCCAATGGCAGTGGGTATGAGCCACTGCCATGTTAGAAATGCAGCGTGGCGTGGTTGCGATAGGTCGCATGCCATCTTGGCTTTTCATAGTCAAGTTTGCCATCTGCTGTTCTAGAACCCTGGCCCTTTTCTCTAGACTTTTCGAGATGACCATTCCAGATAGCCCAAGCCTGACGCTTAGTCCTTCCATCCTCCCACCGCAAACCCAGCTCATCCCCCCACTGTGAGGTCATCCTTCGGGAGGTTTCAGAGGCTGTAAGACTGTAAGGGAGGCAGATGGCATTTGCACACTGTCCGAGCTGCCTCCTCTCTGGAAACTCTGGCCTAGATCAAGGACCCCCCCAGCTTGAGCAGCCACTGGAATCACGGCAGGGCTTATGAGAAGACAGGTGGTTTGGGAGATCTGTGTGGGCTGGGGCCTGAGCTGCAATTTCTAATGAGTTCCCAGCTGGTGCTGATGTGGATGGTTCAAGGACTGTACGAGATGCTGACAATTCAGAACAGGCATCCTCCCCAAAACAACCAAACTGCTAGGTAAGCCCTAAGAAACACCTTCTTCAAAGCTCCAAAGAGTTGACAGTGCACTGAGTTACACAGATAAAAAAGGTGTGGACTGGGTGTTTTATTTATGAATATATTTACCACAGGGGTAGGGGAAAAATAAGAATTGACCATTTATAAGAGCAGAAAGTAACAATGTGTAAGAACACTTGAAGCTGCCAGCTGTCTCGGGTCTTGTCTAAGATTACCCTTATGGAGGGGCTTCCAGCCGGTTCATCCCAATGTTTCATTCTGGCTTCAGCCCTGCTGAGAACTTGCTATTCCCCTCCCCAATGCATGACATTAGAATCTTATTGAAATGCCAGTTCTGATGGTGCCCAGCTATCAAAATATAAAGCATCTGGGGTCTTAAAGGCTTGAAGATAAACAAGCAGCCATGTAGCTGAGAAGCAACAAAGCCCATATGGAAGAAGCACACCAGCCTGTGTGATCATGAGGTGTCGATAGGGTCAGGGATCAGTCATCAAAGAACAAAAAATCATATCATTGTGAATGAGGGTGAGTGCAGAGTGGAGACCCAAAGCCCATCTGTAGGCAACTGAACATCCCCTTACTGAAGGGTGGCAGGGAACACACAAGCCAGTCAGGGTGCAGTATAGCACCAATGAAACATACAACTTTCCTCTGGTTCTTTAATGCTTCCTCTCCCCGCCCCACTATCATGATCCCAATTCTACCTTACAAACACCAGCTAGACCAGAGGATGTACACTGGTAAAGATAAGAGCTGGAAACAGAGAATCCAGGACAGATAAACCCCTCAGGACCAATAAGGAGAGTAGTGATACCAGGAGGGTAAGGGGAAAGTGGGGGAGGTAGGGGGAGCTGATCACAATGATCTACATATAAACCCCTCTCTGGGGGACAGACAACAGAAAAGTGGGTGCAAGGAGACATTGGTGTAAGACATGAAAAAATAATAATTTATACATTATCAAGGTTTTGTGAGGGAGGGAGGGTGGGAGAAGGAGGGGGAAATGAGGAGCTGATACCAAGAGCTCAAGTAGAAAAGAAAATGCTTTGAAAATGTTGGCAACAAATGTACAAATGTGCTCAACACAATGGATGGATGGATGGATGGATTGTGAAGAGAGTTGTGCGAGCCCCCAAAAAAATGATGAAAAAAAAAGACATGTCTGTTCTGATTCAGTATATCTGGGCAGAAACAAGGAGCTCTGGTGGCTCAGTGGGTTACATGCGGAGCTGTAACCCCAAGATGAGCAGTTCAAAACCACGAACTGCTCTGTGGGAGAAAGAGAGACTTTGGATTCCTGGAAAGTTACCGTCCCACCAGCCCACAGGGGCACTTCTCCTGCATCCTATGTGGTCTCTGTGATTCAGGACAGACCTGGTGGCAGTGGGTGCGTTGTTCAAACACATATTCCAAGCAGGGCACGGGGAGGGGGCAGTTGGGGTGGGGGTCAAAATGGAACCACCTCACTCACACACAAACCTGGAATCTTGTTATTTCTTTTACAGGTTTGTGGCACCACACGACACTCAGCCCAGTCTGCCCACATGGACTTCCTTGTGACTCTTCATGTCCCTCCTTGCTTAGTAACTGCCCAGGTCAGCCTTCATTATGTCCTTAGCACGGTGACTGGCCCTTTCGTGAACGAACATGAGTGAGTGGGAGGGCACAGCCACGAAGATGCTGCTGGTCTGGCATGGGGACTCGCTCGCTTGCCATTGAGTGGATTCTGTCTCGGAGACTCCCTGTGAGTTTCCATGACCCAGTCTTTGTGGGAGTAGAAAGCCTCATACGGAGCAGCTAATGGTTTGGGGCTGGCGATCTAGCAGTTAACAGGCCAACGTGTAACTACTGTGCTGCTCATTACCACTGAATCCATGCCGACCCACCGCAACCCCCATGGGTTGCAATGCTGTTTACGAGAGTAGAACGCCCGGTCTTTCTCCCGAGAAGCCGCTGGTGGTTTTGAACTGTCGACCCTGTAGGTCGTGGCCTAATGCAGAACCACTACACCACCAGGGCTCATCTCACGATGCCATGAGGACGCCTTATGGTGACTATGGCCAAGAGAAAAGGCTCAGCAGCCAGATGGCGCTACAGAGAAGAGCTGTACACACTTACCTTGGGATGCCAAGCGTGAACTGACACAAACCCCCGGGTTCTAACATTCCTCAAATGTGAGAGGGCCCTTCTACCTGGCCTAGGAGCCCCGGTAGAATGGTGGGTAACTGCTAACTGCAAGGTCAGCAGTTTGCAACCACCAGCCGCTCCACAAAAGAAAGGGCTTTCTACTCCTGTAGAGAGTTACAGCATTGGAAACCCACAGACAGTTCTATGCTGTCTTATATGGTTAGGGTCATTACACATCAGAATCAACACAATAGCAATGACATTTTGTTTTGTTTTATTTTTAAAAGATACCTCACCTAACCTTTGTTCCTTATTCCAAAAGCCTAGCTGTAGCACAAACTCCCTTCCCTAGAGATAAAGCATTCATTTCAATAGGACTCTCTGTCCTAAAGGAGGTCAGCTGTCTGCCCAAGTACTTGGCTATCATAAAAGGGTCAAGTCCAGGGTCAGGTGGATTTCCTTTCGTTTGTCTCTCCCAAGTGTGGTTCCCATCACGATGGCTGGTCCTGAGGAAGGCTGGTGGGAGCCGCCAAGATGGGAGCAGGGCCATCCCCACCGGGGGCCCTCTGCCTTTTCCCAGGCCTAGGGTCTAATATACTGCATGTCTATGCTGCATGTCATCGGAATCAAAGAATAATAATAATAAAAAATCAAAGACATGCCCGTGTTTTAGTGTCATCCACATGAGTCCATGGTCCCAGAATTTCACCAGTCACTTCAGATTAGGTTGGACTACAGCAGCGGTTCTCACCCTATGGGTCGCGACCCCTTTGGGGCTCGAATGACCCTTTCACAAGGATTGCCCGATTCATAACAGTAGCAAACTTACAGTTATAAAGCAGTAATGAAAATAGTTTTATGGTTGGGGGGGCGGTCACCACCACATGAGGAACTATATTAATGGGTCACAGCATTAGGAAGGTTGAGAACCACTGGACTGGGAGCTTTCTTGGACTTCCTTCCTGCAAGTCCTTGCTGTTGCTGTTCCCAAGGTCACCCCAGTCTGCCCCACCCAGTTAGCCCTCATGCAGGGACTCCCGAACACAGGAAAAATGGTTTCAGGAGGTAGGGGGGCAGCTGCCAGGGCAATGTGACCCAATAGGCCATTGGAAAACGGAAAGGAGAGGAGTTAGGAGAACCTCTTCGGCAGAATATGGGGCCAAGGTAAGCAGCTAAAAGAAATGCTCTCCTGATAGAATGTGTTTCCTGACAATAAACATGAGGCACGATGAGGAGGGAGTGTGAAGTGGAAACTCTGCTGAGAGCTGTCTTTCCTACGGGAGAAGTCTGTTGTGAACAACACCGTCTCACACTGGAATGATAGTCCTGCACCTCAGCCCTAAGTCGTGGTTTACTGGGGATCTCAAACCTCTGCTCAGATCTTCGCCTCTAGATCCTGGATTCCAATACTCCTCAGTCTCTTAACGGACCTCCCCAGACACATCCAGGTCAGTATGGCTCGAACCAACAGTCCCTTGACTCTGAGCCGAGAGACAGATCGTAATCAGGACATGGGAAAGGGAAATCAACAGGGGAAGGTAACCAGGAGCAAGCTAGCCTCCTGCTCACATTTCAGATGCCAGCCCCTGAGCACGGTGCTTATCTGTGTAAACCAGGATGGCTTTCTTGCCACAGGAGGCTCCCCTACAAGCCCTTCGAGCTCTGTCTGGCCCTGCTGGCCCTTGCCACATACCTGCCCCTCCGGTGTCTTATTGGAACCCCATTCAAATTCTTCATTCGTCTGCGAGAACTGTGCAGCGACAATGTAGCCGACTTTCAGTACATGGTGGGGGCAGAGTGTCTGAAAACACAGATCTCTACATACAAAGCCCAAAAATGGAAAGCTTAGAGAGAAGCAGCCTTGAGAGATCTACATTTGTTCCAAATTGTCACTAGTCAACTGTGGGACATTGGGAGAATTCCTCTCTCTGGAGTCAGTTTTCAGATACGCTAAGTTCAAAAGATGCCTCGCCACAGTCAGAGGTAAAGATTGGGCTCAGTTCTGACAGCTTGGTGGTTGGAGCCACAGCAGAGTCCAGATTGAACCTGAAGACCCCTCACTTGAGCCTGCAACCTCTAGAAAGAGTCAACAAGCAGAAACCCAGTCCTCGCTCGGACTGAAGCCTGGTTACATGCCTTATCATGGCCCAGAAAAGCTCAAATTCTGAAGCTACATTAAAATGAGCCTGAATGGCTGGTGACGCCAAGTCCCAAACACTTGGGAAGAAGGTCGTAAGATTGTTAAAAATAATTCAGCTAGCAAAGACGCCACACTCAGTCTATGCCGATGAAGAAACAGTGTTAGCCAAGCCAGCGCAAAGCCGAGCAGAACTTCGGCTATTGAAATTAAACTGATAGAATGATTGCTTCCCTTCAAGGAGATAAAACCCAAGGTTGAGAAATGACAGAAAATCGGAACAAACAAACAAATTGGGGGGAAAAAACAAATGAATTCTAGAAGCTAAAATGCAATCCCTCCAATAGAACTCAACGATGGGTTTAACCTCAGGTTAAGCATAGCTAAAGAGAAAATTAGTGACCTGGAAGAAGAGGAGGGAAACAAATTCTAGAATGAGCCCACGAAGATAGGAGAATATGAGACAGAAGATATGAGTCAAGTGCATAAGCACCTATACACACTCCCCGAACTCCCCGAAAAAAGACAAATGGGGGTGAAGGTTGTATAAGGGGTTTTATCAATGGTCGGTAATTCTCAGACACCAAAGCAAGGATTTTTAAAAAGTGCAACAAATACTAACTAAGAAAGGAAGCACCTATACACACTACGATAGAATCCTAAACAAACAAATAAGCAAACACATACAACAGAAATCTTAACTCAGGAAGCCAACTCCCTAAAATAACAAATCAAACCCAGGAGGTCTCATCGGGAAGCTCACCCAAGTTTTAAAGGAGCACATTATCCTAGCTCTAGTTCTATTTCTCCAGAGCCAAAGATCAGCTTGGGAATGAAATAGAACAAGGTCAAAACTCCACGTTCATATGAAAAGCTATACACCAATCCATGATTATGCCATCCACACACAAAAGCTGGATAGCATTTAGCAAACAAGCCCATCAGATGCTCAGAAGGCATTTGACAACATGAGACACTCATTCATTTGGACATCTCCAAAGACTAAAGCATCCGTCAATCAAAATGGGAATCTTCTACTCAAAGGGTACAGCCTACTCAAGTCATCCAATCTTCCCAACAAGTTTGAAGGCAAAACTGCCCCACCCTGGGTTTGCCATGATCTTAAGTATCAGCCTATTAGCTGTGCTTTTGGTTTAGTGGTACCTAGCCCTGGTGGTGTAGTGGTTACACAGTGGGCTGCAATCCTCAAGGTTGTCAGTTCAAAACCACCAGCCCCTCTGAGAGAAGAAGACAGAGCTTTCTCCTCCTATAAAGAGTGACTGTCTCAGAAACTCGTGGGCAGCTCTACCTGTCCTGTAGGTCCACTAGGCCTCAACATTGAGCCGCTCGCAGTGAGCTTGGTTTAATAGTCAGAAGGAGCTCACGCAGCATCTGACCTCACCTAGTTCAAGACTCAAAAGGCCCATTAGCGGGATTTGACTGGTTCACACAGGTTCTGCAGCATCACTACTGGATTGTTTTGTTCAGTTCGACGAACCAGTTAAAACGGTGCTTGTAATCAGGGTTCTCTCAAAGGTGGGAGGCTAGGCCCGGCAGCTGCCCAAGGTAGAAGTCACAAATTTATATTTCTTCCATTTTTTCACATTATCTGCAACAGCATATTCTACGCGCCTGTCCGTAAGGTACACAAACCTTGGACGGAATCTGCTCGCAGTAGTCATTTGTTCGTTTCATAAAATGATGAAGTACGACATTGTTATTCCCTTGCATTTGTATATTCAGTAAACACAGCACGTAAAGAGAAGCGCCACCAATCGAGGGTGACACGCTGTCATTTACTTCAGCGTTGTGTTGTGCCCTAAATTCCCACACGATATGAGTGAATTATGCAAGTCCTGAAAGCGTTCACAGAGCAAAAAAATAGGGTCAGAACAATGGCTGCAAGTTCAGCAGAAGCAGAAAGGGGTTTTTCCAAAGATGAACATAGTATGTCCAGAGAAGAGAAGCTGCCCGTTTCGAATGCAGCGAACAACGGCTCTTATTACGTGGCCTACGTATGGGAGTCTACTCCCACCGTGAAAAGTGGTTCAGGATAAACCCACAACTGAGGATGCTCAGGTGAAAGGGAAGAGCATCCCATGGGAGGGCGCCAATCAAGAAGCAGTCTGGAAACACTGGTGTCCTAACGCCCTGACTGGCTTTTTAGTCAGGTGTTATTGACCAGTCTTCATTCATGTTTTCAACCTCTTACAACAATCTAGTTTTGTCTACCTCTTTTACTGGTCTTATTTAAGTATCAGCTGTATGAAAGGAGCTACCTTTCGAAATAATGGCTTTATAGGGCAGTTAACATTAGGACATCAGGGCAGTTAACCGGTTGGACATTAGAGCAGTTAAAATGGACATTAGGGCAGTTAACCGGTTGTTCCGTTATCCAGATCCCACTCTCTCCAACACCCCCTCGAGGACCTCTCCTGAAAGGGTGCACAGACCCTCCAAAAAGCTCCTTTTGTGGGGATCGGTGACGATCAGAGGTAGAATTCCCAATTTCTTGCAGGAGCTACGTTCCACACCTTCAGCACAGTCACCGTCTGTTAGTGGAAGCTGGCACAGAGATGCCACAGGTATAGGTAGCATTCTGTTCTGTGGGGCACAGGATCCCCACATGTTAGAAGCCAACAGGAGGTGGCAGCTAACACATGCCCCCAAACCCATCTGTGGCTTTGCACCTACCCCCACCCTCACCCAGAACCAAGAGAACCAAATGGAGAGCCCAGTCGAGGTCAAGGCCAAGGTCTCGTTCCACATCCCACTGCGCCCTCCGTGCTGCCCCGTACTTACCACTTTGCTTGTCCGCACTCATCCTGTCTGAAGCCTACAACCCTTGATCTGCTCCTCGGTTCCCCTCCTCACTCCACGGGCTTGATGCCCGGGGCCTGCCCACTCTGCTTTTAAGCACAGGGCGGGCTGAGTGACCTAAACAAGAAAGGGCTTTGCAAAGGTTACACCTGGGAGGTGTGATGCCCAGACTTCTCCGGGTTAGTGGCATCACCTGGATGGAGCATGCTCAGAGTCCAGCTGCATCTGCTGCATCTAATCTAGACGATCGGGATGGCCGTTGGGTGAGTCTAATACGTGACGGACAATTGACAAGGGCGTCAGGGAGCCCCATTGCAGCACACAGGTGCTAACCTTTCCCTGTCTCTGAGGGAGCCCCGATTTCAGAGTGGAGTGAAATGATTTGAGAGCTTCAGGACAGGTGGAAGGATTTAACCAGGTGGCGTGAAGTGTTGGACTGCTAAGGACAAGGTCAGCAGTTCTAAACCACCAGTAGCTCCTAGGGAGAGAGACAAAGCCCCACCACCACCACCACCCCTGTAAAGAGTCGGGGTCTCAGCAACCCACAGGGGCAGTTCTACTCTGTCCTATAGAGTCCTTAGGAATCTCGGTCAACTTGATTGGCAGTGAATTTCTTTGATCACAACTGGGAGTTGCCCTGGCGTGGTTTGAATCCATGGCAGAAAGGGCAGGAGCTCCGCCCCCGTGGGCAGTTCCATGGGGCCCTTAGCCTCTGTCCTCCGAGTCGGCATCTATCTGATGGCCCTTATCAGCAACAACTGGGCTGAGAGCCAGGAGGCCTGGTCCCCGCTGTCCTGGCCCCACCTGGCCTCATCTTGTGTCCTTGACCTGCTTCCCTACCCTTTGTGAGTTTGGGTTTCTCCCTCCCCATTGAAGGGGGCAGGTAATGGGATCTGCCTCCTGGCAGAGGGTGTGAGCATTAAATGGAGTGACTCATCAGTGGGCTTTCTCAGCGTTGCCCCTGGGCCAGGCAGCCACCACTCTGTGGTCCCGCCACCCAAAGGCAAACCTAAAGGCAGCCTGTGGCCTGGCAGGCCCCACCTGGCAACCATCCTCAGACCTTGTGCAAGACACAGCGGCCTGGGCCCCATTGCCAGGGGCCCTGGCTCAGAAGGTCTCCAGTGGGGCCCAGGCACCTGCGTTTGAAACCTAGCATGCTGACCTGGAAGCTGTCTGGGGTCAGGACACCCGACCGGGAAGCTCAGAGGGTGGCTAAGTCAAGGTGTTTGTTCCCGGAAGGAAAGCTTTGGGACTCAGCGGGCAACTGAGGCCAAGATGGCTGGTTCCAGATACTAGCTCAGGGCTCCCCCACCTCCTTCGGGTCCTTGCTCAAACCTCACTGGGTCCCTGTGACCAGGCGCTCAATTCTCCTGCGTGATTTCCCATGTTTTACAGCACATCTCTTTTCCTGGCGTATCAAAACCAAAACCAAACTGGCTGCCATCGAGGTGGGCTGCTAACCACAAGGTCAGCAGTTCAAAACCACCACAGGCAGCTCCAGGGCAGAAAGACAAGTATGTCTACTCTCATAAGGTTTACAAACTCCGAAACTCACAGGAGCAATTCTCCTCTGCCCTATAGGTGTGCTCTACGTCTTTCCAACAGACGATAGAACTTAGTTACTTATTAGGTGTCTTACAGAGCTCCTCTGGTGGAGTAGTGGTTACACATTGGGCGGCTAACTACAAGGTCAGCAGTTCCAAACCACCAGTTGCTCTAGGTGAGAAAGATGAGGCACCTTTGGGGGCAGGTCTACCGCAGAGGGTCTCTGTGAATCGGCAGGGAGCTCTGTTAGGTGTATGACACTTCCCACACACACTTCAAGAGTGTAAACTCCACAGGGAGGGGTCTGTCTTGGTTTTGTGCACTGATGTTTCTGAACGCCCCCCACAATTCCCCAAACCGAAGGGACTGGGAGCCTCTTCCCTGCAGGACCCACCTCCGGCTACAACTGCTGTGCAGGGGATTTGCCAGGAGGGGTCACTAAACCCTTATCTTCCTTCCCAGTGCCGCAAACTCAGCCAGACGCCTGGGCGGCTGGAATGAAGAAAAGGCAAAACCAACAACCTGGTCACCGGGCTAAGACTCCTTTCTTCATGCGGGTGGCGGGTGGTGGGTGGCTGCAGGCGAGGCTGGGCCAAGCCAGGGGTCAGCAGCTACGGTGCTATGGGTCAATGCTGGTGCACAGCCATCCCTTGGGTTTAGACACTGTCGCTGCTGACCGCAGCAGAAAGCCCAGTCTTTCTCTCCTGGAGCTGCTGGTGGTTTCAAACTGCCAACCATGTGGATGGCAGCCCAAGGGGAAACCGCTACTCTGCCACCAGGGCTCCCTACTGGGGCTCTTTTTATGGGAGCAAAGCAAGGCTCGGTGTCTGGCTTGATGGACTTAGAAGGTCTCTAGGTTCTCCTATGCGGTGGGGAGGGAGGGAGGGCGTGGACATGGGAAAAGGGACAAGAATTCCCTGCATGCCCCCGAAGGAAACTGATTGGGCTCCCATCATCTCCCCGGCCTCTAACGCCTCTGCGCCTTGATTTGAGCTCCCTAGACTTCAAAGGAGACTGGTGGCACAGGGTTAAGTCCTCAGCTGCTCACCACAAAGGGTGGTGTTTTGAACCCAACAGAGACCTGGGGGTGGGGGTGGGGAGGAGGGCAGTAGAAAGGCCTGGTGATCTCCCACCGTACAGTGTGGCAGGTGATCAGGTTGAGTTGGTCGATTCTGACTCATCTAGACCCATGTGACAGAGGAGGGTGCCCTGAAGCATCTTCTCTCTAACCCACCAGCAGCTCCTTGTGTAAAGATTGCAGCCTCGGGCCAGGTCTGCTCTGGAGTCAACTGGTTGGGCTGGGTTTCCTCTTTATAAGAGCAGATGGGGGTGGGGGTCGGGGGATTCGAACCACCAACCTCTGCGATAGCAGCCGTGCACCGAGCACTTCGTCTAGGAAACGCCATGGGACAGTTCGACTCCATCCTGTGTTGCTGCTACAAGTCCGCACTGACTGGACGGCACACCCCCCGGCCGCAGACTCTGAAGGAGCCATTTGAGCCTCACACACAGTCACTCTGAGAGAGGAGCCTGGCAGACCCCGAGGGGGGACCAGGTGGGGAAAGAGTACCAACTGTTTCTGGATCCATTTCACGGAAGACAGCAGTGAAACTAAGGCCCAGTGGGGAGTCAGGGAGGGCCACCTGGGTGGACTGACCTGTCCACACCGTGGCTGGAACCTGGGGTTTTGTCACCATGGGGCTCTTCTTGCCCACAGGGGCCCAGAGTCCCCCTGCTGGGTCTGCCAACAGCCCGTTGGGGACTGTGTTCTGGGGCCCTTTCTTTTTTGGAGGGAGCTCATGCAACTCTTATCACAATCCATACATACCTCAATTGTGTAAAGCCCATACATCAATTGTGTAAAGCATACACACATCAATTGTGTAAAGTACATTCATTGTCCTCATCATTTTCAAAACACTTGCTCCCCACTTAAGCCCCTCGCATCAGCTCCTCATTCCCCCCTCCCTCCCTGCTCTCCCCTCCCCCATGAACCCTTGGTAATTTATAAATTATTATTTTGTCATATCTTACACGTCCAACATCTCCCTTCACCCACTTTTCTGTTGTCCGTCTCCCAGGGAGGAGGTTATATGTAGATCCTTGTAATCAGTTCCCTCTTTCCACCCCATCTTCACTCCACCCTCCAGGTATCGCCACTCTCACCACTGGTCCTGAAGGGATCATCCACCCTGGATTCCCTGTGTTTCCAGTTCCTATCTGTACCAGTGTACATCCTCTGGT